TATTTATTAAATTTTGATTTTTTTTACTGTTACTCGTGGTTAATTCTTTACCTATATGACTAAATTTTATATAAATGATAATTTCTCACATATATTTATAATAGAAACTAGTATTTAATCCATGCGTTGCACGAGAATATATTTATTCTATAATTTTAGTTGAATTCAAAAAATTTAAATATACATTTATACATTTTAAAATGAATAATATCTAACTATATAATTTTAAGTATAACCGGTATTTGATATCCTTCAATAGAAAAATCATATATATGTAAATATATTTTTTATTACTCCGCAAATTCTAAATTTAATCAGCAATGCGAACAATAAAAAATATGGACTATATTTCTTGAGTTTCTTCATTTCTAATCAATAATTAGTCACGATATAAATGCATATGTTTTGATTATTTTATATATTCATCCCAATCGTATACAAAAAAATTCTTTGTAAATGAATTTGACAAAACGCTAAGTACATCTTTTGGATAATGAAAATCTTAAATCCACTACAATTTGGAACTTTGCAACTTAAAAAATATGCATGGACTAATGACAAAAGTAACGGAAAGACCAACCGTGCAATACTAACGTGACTTGAAGGATAATTCATGCAATTTTCAAAGTTGAAGGATTAATCATGAATGATGCAATGATGCAATTTAACTGGACTTAATATTGGAAAGTGGTTTAATTTTATGTGACACTCCCCCGATTCACTCATCCCACCGAAAAACTTACTTGGTATCAGAGGCAACTTCGGGTCAAGATCGATTTGTCCTGACGTTCACCGGACTAGTTATAAAGATTAGGATTTGAGATGCTAGACCCATTCATTCAACTAGTAAGTATACCAGGCTAGTTACCACTTAAATAAGATGTTAGAATCCGTGCATTTTGTCATTCATTCAACTAGTAACTATATCATACCGTCAGAATATTTTGTTATTCTCTTTTTGGCTCAGTACAAAATGTCTTTCTCCAACGGACTAGTTATAAAGATTAAGATTTGAGATGCTAGACCCATTCATTCAACTAGTAAGTATATCAGGCTAGTTACCACTTAAATAAGATGTTAGAATCCGTGCATTTTGCCATTCATTCAACTAGTAACTATATCAGACCGTCAGAATATTTTGTTATTCTCTTTTTGGCTCAGTACAAAATGTCTTTCTCCAAGTATACAATTTACCCTTGTATAGGACCTCTCTACCCTCACAACCCTCTCGCCGAAGGTCAAGGTGCTCATTCATGGTGATTACGTCCGTAGATTAAAAAGGTGCTCATTCAATTCATTTAATAATATTCAATTCGTTAAGAAAATATTTGGTTCGTTTATTATTATTATAGGAAGAAAAAAACAAAGTTAGAAACTGCATTCATAATTTTCATTATATATGTTCTCCCAAATGGTTAATGTTATGGACAACGAAATGTCTACAATAATTTAGGTGGACATTAGGGCAGTAAACAAATAGTCAAATACCCCGGTAGTTAGAGCATGAACAATGGCAAGGAAAAAAAAGAATGCCACACATGGCATAAATCAACCAATAAAAAATGGTCCAGTCAGAGAGTGGCAAGTGAGTGGAGTGGCGCACCCTACAGTGGCAAGTCGTTACTTTTATCACTTTTTAAAATTTTTGTAATGTATTTTAATTATTAAAAATAATTTTTGCTATTTGTCTCATTAAAAAAAATACTTCTACTTCCTTACAAAAAAGAGTTTTTTTTATCAAAAAAAAATAATAAAATAAAAAAAGAAAAAAAAAGAAAAAGAGGCGTGGGAATGGGTGGGATGCCTTGCAATTGACTTGCTCACCGTGGGGGAATGGTCTTCTTCTCCATGCTAAGCATGGCAAAAAAATTGGGAGCTGATGTGGCAAGCGTGGCAGGCATTTGCCTCGCCCGCTGCCACTGCTCTTACTGTTCTTATAAACCTTTTTTTGTAAATTAAAAAAAACTTACGCCCTTGTTCTATTTCGGAGTATTTGTTCATTTTTATTTTTTCAGTCAAAATTAGTAAATTTTGACCCAAAAGTAAATATAAATGATATTAAATATTGATAAAAATAATAATCTTATTAGATTTATTATATAAAATATTTTCGAAATATTATTTTATCTAATTAATATACTATATCTATATTGTTTAATTATAAGTCAAAGATTTAAAACAATTAATTGAAAAAAATCAATACAAAACAAAAAATCCCGGACGGAGTTAGGCCCCGTTCCGTTCAACTTATTTTTTCTTATTTTTTCTTATTCTTATTAAAATCAGATCAGAACAGATCAGATCAGATCCAATCAGATCAGATCAGATCCAATCAGATGAGATCACACCAGATCAGATCCATAAGAAATTATTATTATTATTATTATTATTATTATTATTATTATTATTATTCTTAAAAATCAAAAAGAATAAACTTTAAAAACAAGTTAAATAGAAAATTGAGAAAGTAATCCTTAATTATAAGATATCAAAAAAATTATTTTTAAAATACATTGACAATGTCAATCTAATTCTACTTTTAAAATGCATATTTATGCTACCTGTAATTTGAGTTTCTAAACTTTTGATCTTTTATAAGGATGAAATATTTTAATAAAAATACTATCTCTTCTCTATATTGATTATCTAAATTTAATTACTTTTTAATGTATATATAAATTAAATATTTATTCTAATGTATATATGAACTAATAATTAAAATACTAAATTAATATTGTTATTTCACAAAAAAAATAATCATAACATAAAAAATATTATTACATTATAAAGTGAATGATTATTCTAATATATGAATTAACTAATTTTGTTTTATTAAAAATAATAATAAAATAAAAATATTGATTATATTATAATATGAATTATCATTACAATTTTTAAACGTTAGTATAAAGTCAAATCAAATTATTGATTTGAATTTTAAATCAAATCATAATTAATCAGATCAGATCAGATCCAATAAGATCAGATCGAATCAGATCAGATCGAATTAGATCAGATCGAATCAGATCAGATCAGATCCAATCAGATCAGATCAGAACCAATCAGATCAGATCAGATCAGAAAAAATAAGTTGAACGGAACGGAGCCTTAGTATATGAAAAGGTATTAAAAAAATGACATTGACCTTAATTCTACCAAAGAAATACTCTCTTCAGTCTTCTCATAAACCCATCATCATGGGTAATTATGTCTCAAAATTTTCTTTTCATTTAACTTTTATAAAAATTTTGACCATTAATACACATATATATTTATATATAAATATAATTTATAACAATTTAATAATTTAAAAAAACTTTAAATATCAGATCATAGTACTCCCTCCGTTCTAAAATTAATTTCTCATTTTGACTTTTGCAGTCAAAGTTTTTAAACTTTGACTACATATTACGGAAAAAATATATTGAATTTTCATATAAATTTAGTATCAATAGATTCGTTTTGAAACATATTTTTGAAATATATTCTTATGATAATATATATTCATATAAAAATATAGATATTAATGGTCAAAGTGTTGCATTGGAGACCGTGAAAAGTCAAATGGGAAATTAATTTTAGGACGGAGTGAGTATATTGTTTTCGAAAAGTCAAATTTGTACTCCGGAGTAATTTTTTACTCTAAAAAGCAAATGGTAGTCAACAAGTCAATTGCAACGCCGTTACGTTTTTATTTGTCCCCTGGGCATTTTCTTAAACGGCGTACTCCACCCGTAATTTGAAGAAATTGATTGTGTGCGGGTGAATAATGTTCTTTTTAAAGCATCTTTGTTGAGTTTTGGAGGGGTAAATTTAGAAGAAGAACAGGGTGGAAAATTAAGAGAAAAAAAAAAGTAGTCAAAATCATAAAATTTAAATTTATAAAATTATAATTTGACCCTAAATGACCTGAAGATGACTTAGAAACTGCCGATTGGACTACCGGTAAAAGAATGTTGAAAGTTTGTGTACTTTTATGATAAAAATTAAAGTTTATATACCAAAGTGAAATAATGATGAAAGTTCGTATACCATGGGTGAAATTTACCCAGTATTGGAGGTATAAGTTGTGTTTGGAAAACAGCTTTTCAGATAGCTTTTGACATCTTTGACTGACTTTGACTTGTTTGACTTATCGAACCGCCAAACCATTGTTTGGCTAATGACTTTTTCACTTGGCTTTTTTTATCCGAAAAGCCAAAATTCGAAAAGCAAAGGGAAGTAGCTTTTAAATTGGCTTTTAGAAAAAAATTGTTTTAATCATTTTTCTTAAAAGATATTTTATAATATATGTAAAAAAAATTAAAATAAAAGTTAAAGAATCCAAAAATTAAATAAAATAAATTTTAAGTTTTAAATTTTCAAAAAAAAGATATGAGAAAATCAAAAGTAAAAATATTTAAAAAGTTATATATCAATAATTTCTTATGAATTATATGAAAATGAAATTTTATGCTCCACATATTAACGATTTAATTGTTACATGTACAAAAATAAAAAACAAATATCGTGTGTGTGTGTGTCTATATATATATATATATATATATATATATATATATATATATATATATATTATATATTATATATATATATGTATGTACTTTTATTATTTTTTTATTTTATTTTTATTTTTTTCTTATATATATATATATATATATATATATATATATATATATATATATATATATATATATATATATATATTACCCGAGTAAGTTTTTTGAGAATAAGTACTATTTAATTTCAGAATATATACTACGTTTTTTGTAGATAAATGATGGTACTGAATTTTTCAATTGTGAAAGAATTGAAGAATACTTTATTTGAGACTGAGAGTTTCCTTATTTGAGAATGGGCATTGCTTTTTTAAAAAATGAACACTACGCTATTTATTATAATTATATTAAACAAATGTGTAAAAATGAGTACTTCGTTATTTTAAAATAGGTATTACCTTATTTCCGAATGAGTACTACGTATGAATGTTTATATTTGTACTAGAATGAGTACTACTTTCCTTCGGAATGAATATTTATCTCAAAACTCCCTCTCTACTCTCTATATATGTATGAGTGCGGGTCGGGTCGTCATGAATTCCCTCCCCCCAAAAAATAAATTACCCTCGCCGTCGTCAATTTCAGAGGTTAGGGATGGACATTTCCGGCGCCGCGGAGTCCGCATTTGAATGGTTCTGTAATACTGTGTTGGTGAATCGCTGGACATATCTTTTCCTCTCCCCCGTTGTGGCAATTTCGCTCCCCAGACGCTTCGGATTCGACTGGAGGCTCGACGGCGCCACCGTCTTCGTAGTCCTCTTCCTCTTCATGTCGTGGAGGAACAGTGAAGGCGACGACGGAGACGACGACGGCGGCGGAGTATTTGAGATGTATAAGCACTATTTTCTTCCTCTGATTGCTCTGACCGTACTGGTCCAAGGCTATTACTCGCGACTGAGGCTGTCGGTTGCATTTTACGCCTTGGCCGTTATTGTGTTCCTCTCGTTGCTCTCTACTATTTTGACGGCGATTTTTACCATGGCGACGGCGTTTCTTACGGCGATTTTGGGTGGGGGTGATTCCGACGAAGAAGAGGACGACGACGACGATGACGACTAGCTGTAGATGAGCCCAGTGGTTCTTTGCCTTTTTTCTTTCTTTCTTTCTTTTTTTTTTATTCATACAAAATGAAATGTTCGACTTTTTCATTAATGAAGTGATAAAAAAATATTTTTGTGTTGCTTCCCAAAAATTAAAATTTGATAAGTAGATTTTAAAGAGTGTCACTCATCAGAACTTAAAGAGAAAATAAATCGGTATAGAAGCTCTTAAATTGAACTAAGTGATCGATTGAATTCAGTCTTTTAATGTAGTTCAGGTCAAGTGTCTTATGATCCATTCTTTTGGTCTTACCCCATCTTAAAGTCTATCAGTCGATTATTATATAAAAAATATGATGTGATAAGTATGGTAAGAATTAGACTATATTTTTTGGGTTGAAAAAATTAACTTCCAACTTCTTTGAGTTTCTTCTAACTCCTTTCAATTTCTACCATTTTCTTCCACTTTCTTCCACTTTCTTCCAACAACGACTTGAGAAGATATTTATATATAATTAATATATAATAACATTATACATCCAAATTTACAATATAACACATCAAACATAGACAAAGATGACTTCTTTTTTTTATCTAAAAATTAAAATTTTTTTACATATTTATTTGAGTAAATCTTTAACACTTTAATTCTTCCAACATCTTTTAACTCCTAGTTTTTTCAATTCCTTCCAGTTGTTTCCAACTCCTTCTAATTTCTTCCAACATCTATCTCTAAAATTCTCATCTAAAAGAACAGAGCCTTATATGGGTAAAGTGATTTTTTTAAAATTGAAATTAGTGATTTTCAGCCATAGACTTGATACTCTTGTGATCTTGAATTGGTGTATGTGGATGATATATTCGTTGTTGGCAACAACCCCGGTTTGTGTTCTTTCACGCGATATTTAGATAATTATTTTCATCTCAAGGATTTAAGGCATTTGAAATATTTCACTCGGTTCGAGTGTGCTTGTTCCTCGACGGGTATGGTGTTGTGTCAATGCAAGTATGCGTTGGATATTCTACAAGAAGCTGGTTTGTTGGTATGTAAACCTGCGGACACGCCTCTTCAGCCAAACCAAGCATGGTCTTGCTCATTCAATCTCGACCCAAGTACGTGATCTGTCACGCTATAGATATATCGTGAATCGTCTCACTTATTTGACTACCACCGGGCTTGAGTACGCATTTTCAATTCATGTACTTTCTCAATTTATGCAGACACCCAAGCTTGATCATTTAGTAGCTACCATGTGTGTTCTCCGCTACATCAAAAGACATATGGGGCAAGGTGTTTTTCGGTGTGACAATAGTCTTCATATCACCACCTTTTGTGATTCAGATTGGCAAGTTGCCTGTTATCCCATCAGTTTGTCAGGGAGTATTTTGTTATGTTGGGTGGTTCTCTGCACCTTCTAACTCGGTAAACAATACTCCCTCCGTCAACCAGTTTTTGTCCACTTTTGACTTTTGGAACTGTTCATCTAAGAACTTTGACTCATCAAATTCTCTCAATGTGTAAGCCTAAATATAGTCATGTGTGATCTTGTTTGATTTGTCTTAACATATATTACCTCCGTCCCAGAGTATTTGTCCACTTTCATTTTTACACACCATCTAATACACTTCTTTAATCAATTTTATCTTGTAATTTGTATATTAAAAAATTATAGAAATTATATATTAATAATCTATATGTTAAGACAAATCAAACAAGATCACACATGACTATATTTAGGCTTACACATTGAGAGAATTTGATGAGTCAAAGTGCTTAGATGAACAGTTCCAAAAGTCAAAACTGGATGAATACTCCGGGACGGAGGGAGTAGATTATTAATGTATAATTTCTATAATTTTTTAATATACAAATTACAAGATAAAATGGATTAAAGAAGTACATTAGATGATGTATAAAAATGAAAGTGGACAAATACTCTGGGACGAAGGGAGTATATAATCAAATTCATGTCTGATCTAAGTATATCCAATTACATAAAATAATCGATGACACTAAAATTACCAACTAACAAGAGATACAAATTAAAGCCGCTACTCCATTAATCTACAACGTAACTTTCTCTATCCCGAATCAATTCACATATTTCCTTTTACAGATTGTCCTGAAAAAATTAACACGCTTTCAAGGTCGGTCGTGAAGATTCAAGTGGCTTGGGAAAAAGGTCGTTACGCTCGAGTTAAATCAGATAAACTACTTCTTTAACAATACACCTCTTACTTTCCTAATAAAGTCAGAGATTTATGGTCTAATTTTTTTTAATTTCTTCTATAAAAACTTCAAGCAGTCACTTTTCATTGTTTGAATTTTTTTTGACAAATTGTTTAAAATTATTTTTAAAGTACTTAATAAAATCAAATTCCTCAAATTAAACCGAGAGGGTATAAACTATAAAGCATTCAATAACAAAAGGTGATGGACGCTATTATTGGAATACTTTTGACCAAAACAGAGAAAACAAACCCAAAGTTGGGAGCCGCGTCCCTAATTTTCGTCTTATGTTACCCAAAAAGTCCTTTAAAAGAGAGAGAGAGAGAGACTCAAAAAGTCATTTGCATAATCGTTACGTTATTACTGCCTATAGTTTGATTTATTAACCAATGAAATTTGATCATAAATTACATAAATATTGATTGCATAGTAGTGAAAAAAAATCATTTTATTCTATACTAAATCTTGTAGAAAATTTTCAAAGAAGTATTTTATTATAGTTATACATGATGTAGTTTTTTTTTTGAGTGACTAAAAAAGTGACTAAAAAGAGTGTTTTTTTCCTAGGCACTTTTTATATATTTCATAGTTTTAGGACGGAAGGAGTATTTATAATTTCAAGTATTTTTATTAATTTCATTTTTTATTATTATTAGGTAATAAATAAATAACAAAAATGAAAAATAAAAGAAGAAAATAAAAATAAGTATTAATCATTTCCTTCCCCTTCCTAAACCAGATAAGGTGAAGGAAAGCACTTTTATCCCTTTTCAATTGTCATTCTCTCTCATCCTTTCCTTCCCTTTCCCTTCCTCCCAATCAAAGAGGCCCTAACACTATATTTGGTTCAAGGAATTTGAGAGGGAAAGGAAATGAGAAGGCAAAATGTACTAAGAGGAAGGAAAACCAAATTCCTCCCATTTTGATAAAGAAAATGAGGAAAAACATGTTTCTTTTCTTTTCTTCCAAATTCCTTGAACCAAACATAGTGTAAGTGTTACGTTGAGAATTTGTGCAAAGGATACAGCTTCCTGAGGTCGAGGGGTGTGGAAGCCGTGATCGACCATCCCGGGCGTAACCGCCCCCTCACCCATGAGCGTGATCGAAGAGTTACTGTAGCAATTTGGTATTTTACCCCGATTCAATGTCAATTGAACCAAAGTGATCTTAAAAATGATAGGACTTATTCAGTGTTAAACAACATCAAAATATTGTAGTATCTCCAATGTTAGGACCGTCTTGCTTCTTAATTGCAGTCTCACAATTTGCCCCAAGAGATTTATTTCTAAAATTATTTTTTAGGAGGGATAATCTCAATTGGTGGAGCATTGTTACACCAATTCAATTAAAACATCTACAGTGCTACGGTGTAATATGGTTATGTCAATTCAATTGGAACATCAATAGTACTCCGATTATAAAATTGATTGTTCCAACCTCCTAACTTTCAAGTAAATCCCCCTAGCCAGCCCCCTCCCCAACGCACGCCCGAAGCCGCCAATTCATTACATCTATTTTTTTTATCTTGTATGTTATGGTCCTTTTTGTATCTTGGACACTATGACCTCATATCGAGTCCCAAGTGACATAAACAACAATCAATTTAAAATTCTCAACCGTAAAAGTTTCACAAAAATTGGCACGGTTAGTTAAAAAGTGAAATTGTGTTAATTAAAGTTGTGCACAAGAATGCAATAATATAACCCACAAAAATGTTCCATGAATAAAAAGTAAATTTTATTTTTCAACGAACGGGAAAAAAATCATTTTATGTAACAGAGAAAATCAAAGCAAAAAAATGAAAAAATAGAGATGGGACGCTCTTTTCAAGTTAGAGCGGTCCCAAGTTTTATTAACTCGTCCAATGGAGTTGAAGTAAAATTAGAGTATCACGTGATTGTCAGTAGGAAGAAAGAGAAGATTTGGGACGAGCATTTAAGTAGGATCAAGTATCGAACCTATCCTGAAATTTTCCAAAAAAAAAACCCCAACCAAAAAATACAGAATTGGAAAAACACTTTAACAACCCCATCCGTACCAAAACAAGCTTGAAATCGGTCTCTAGCTACAACAGGTTTTTATTGTCACGGAGCGGAGGGAGTATTTGATTGATCTCTAAGTTCAAATTTCAATAGTTTTAATATATTTCATTAAATCTTCATGGGGACTGGTTTAAATGTGGGAATTACTGGGAAAAAACCCATATTCTTTTTATTGTTTTATTATTTTTGAAAACATTAAGCATTTAAAATTCTTAACAAATTCTAACCATTCTTTTTTACTTTTCTAACATGTGCACAAACTGTGGCAGTAAAATAGATTTTGAGCTTCTAAATCAAAGAGTAAATTCCATATGTGGCCTATTATAACAAGTGATTTTCCATAGTTGGTCTCCAATTCTAATAAATTAGACTCATGGTTCATAATTAGTCTTTTATGTCAAATATGAACAATTTTTTTCCTCGCATGTAGTCTCCAAAAGGACTGATTATGGAATAGTTTATAAAAATTAAGGATCATGATTGTAATATCTTAGAATTAGGGACTCAATATGAAAAATCACCTGTTATAAGGGATCATTTATGGAATTTACTCTAAATAAAACATATGTCCATCTAGAAAATGGAAAGTGAAGATTATTTTGAGGCGGAGAGATAGCATAAAAGAGTGAAAACGAAAGCAAACATGCCTTCTTCGAATCAATTGCACGATATGTCCATCTCGCGAAGAACATATAATAAGCTTTATTTGATCAATAACAAAATCCACACTTTTTATGACTATATATAACACAATCCAGGCAGGTCTC